AGGCTAAATAAAACAAAAATATTGGTGGTAATTTTTGACTGTGTAACTTTACAAACGGCACCCCATATCAAAACCTTGTGAAAAAAAAACTTTAAGGAAGATTGGAAGCTGTGAAAGACGGTCCAACTCTTGACACCCCCTGTTGATGTGATGGTCAGGTGTAGCCGAATACTTTTAAAGTACAGATGAGGAAATAGAAAAAGAACAGGAAATAGTTCCATTCCCACAGTTTTAAATGTTTTCTCTCATTAAAAAAGGCTCTCCAGCTGGGATCGGACATCCTCCCTCAGTACAAACAAGAGGCCCCTAAGACCCCTCCACACATCATCCTCCACTACTGCACCTTCAAGACCACCTGGGACTGGGTCATCCTCATCCTCACCTTCTACACCGCCATCATGGTGCCCTATAACGTCTCCTTCAGGACCAARCACAACAACCTGGCCTGGCTGGTGGTGGACAGCGTGGTGGACRTCATCTTCCTGATYGACATCGTGCTCAACTTCCACACCACCTTCGTGGGTCCGGCCGGAGAGGTCATATCAGACGCCAAGCTGATCCGGATGAATTACCTGAAGACGTGGTTCGTCATCGACCTGCTGTCCTGCCTTCCCTACGATATCATCAACGCTTTTGAAAATGTGGACGAGGTGAGGGAAACTTCTTGTTTGGAGAAAGAACATGAAGAATGTTATTGRCTCCTGTAGCTTACACAAAAGTCTACATCCCTCCGAGGACGTTCAGGCGTAGTCATTTCCTTTTTGATGATTATGATTCTACAACCAAAAGTYACAACTAGTTTTGTGTTTTGTTCTGAGTTTGCTAAGAGAATCAAGTTTGTGTTTTTCTTGGAGACAAGTGTAGACATTTTGAGTCAGACAAAATGTTTAGAAAGAACAGAGCATTTTAGAGTAGCACTTCTACTGATTTAAATGGTCACAGAACAAAACTCTGCAAAACGTTAAAAGGATCCCCGATTAGTTGTAACATTAGACTTTATTTAATAAACATATATTTTAACTGTAAAATAAAGACTGTAAAAATACTGTAGGATGTTTAGTTTTTATAACTTTTAAACTAAAAGTTTAAAAATATGTTACACGGACAGGGCCATTTTATTTACATGCAAAGCATTCTGGGTAAATGATGATGTGGGTAGGTCATCGGTGCGAGGCTGCTAGCGAGCTATATCCACCCTGAAGGTTAATCTTGGACAATATCTGATGATCGCCTCTTTTAAATGAAACCAGAGAGCGTTGACAGAGAGGAGAAGGTAGAAATGACTCAGTCTGTAACTGAAAATATGGATGGAGGACCACAGTTTAGCTTTTTTGTCACACTAGCACCGAGCTAATACATATAAGGCAATATAGCGCCAGTGCTAACACAAAGGCTAACAGGCTAAGCTGCGGTTCTTCTTCCATGAAGCAGCTCTGTTGTCCTCCATCYATATTTTCAGTTCCAGGCTGAGTCATTTCTACCTTCTCCTCTCTGTCAACGCTCTCTGGTTTCATTTAAAAGAGTCGATCATCAGATATTGTCCAAGATTAACCTTCAGGGTGGATATAGCTCGCTAGCAGCGTCACACCGAGGACCTATCCACGTCATCATTTACCCAGAATGCTTTGTGTGTAAATAAAATGGCTCCTTACGTGTTAAAATATATTTTTAAAAATTTACAAAACTAAACATCCTATTTTTACAGTCTTTATTTTACAGTTAAAATACATGTTTATCTAATAAAGTGTAATGTTACAACTAATCGAGGATCCATTTAAAAAAAAATTGGCAATGATGAAAGTGAGGCTTTTTATTCTTCTAAAATAGAGTTGCTAATGCTCCATTTATACTTTTTTAACTTGTTGTATTTCATTGTTTCCTTCAAAGGATGTCATCCCTCGCTCCTCTCCTCCAAGCCATCTCCGGGACTTTTCACATTTCCACAGGAACAGCACACGTACTGAAGACTCCGTTCTTCCTGTAAGTCATTCTTTAACGTGAATTGGTCCTGATAAAAAACTCACACGCATAAACAACGGCTCAGCTGCTAACATTCTAAATTTCATCTTGATAATTATATAACTGACTGAGTTCTTTCCCCATCTCTTGGTTACTAAACATAAACAAGAGATGCTCAGTCATATAGAGCAAAACCAAACCAAATAAAAACAGSTTCCACTCAGGACTTAAAGTTGAATTTTTGGACAAGCCGTGTTCCTCTCACAGTGCTGCAGTTTGTCAGAAAGAAACGTTCAGTAAAGTCGGCTGAAAGAGGCATTAGAGGGACGACCGACACGCTCATTTGTGTTTGATGTCTGGCTGAAAGAAGCAGATATGTTTTCTTTTTTTTTTCAGCAAGTGTTGATGGGAGGTCAATAGAGCTCACAAAAGAGTAAATATTGGGCTTAAATTCACCAGGTGGCCAGAAACGTGTCTCTATRTTAAAGTTCCTGTCTGCTCCATGTGATAAATTAGTTATCAGACAATAACTAATGGTCACTAATAAATTGAGAATAAATTATTTGTTATAATTCCATGAATGCAGATTTAGCATTCACTTGAATATTTTCCTGTTTTTTTTTTTTATTTTCCCATACATTAGTTGCAGTCAAACTACTACTGCATACTTTGTACCATTTTAATCATTTTAACTATTATTAAAATGTTCAGCTCATTCTGGAAACGGGTGGTGCGGCTTTTAGTTTCTATAACTAAAGTGTTTAACTTTGTTTTAAAATATTCTCCTCCTAAATAAACTGAGATCTCCTCAGTTTATCAAAAAATATTCTTTTGTTAGAAATTTACTTTAACAAACCTTTTCTATTTTTATCAGTATACAGATGTTTGGCTTTAGCTACTGTTTTGATGCTTTAAGCTTTTACCCACTCTAACTAGCTTTTTTATACATTGACTTTTAGCTAACATTTTTCTAAAGCTGGCTTTTATCAATTTTTTTTCTACTTCTACAGTTTAGCAAGTGTTCTGCTYTTTAGCTGGCGTTTTTCTGCTTTTAGCTAAAGTTCTGCTTTATTTAGCTTATAACTAGCATTTTGCAACTTTTGATTTTAGCGAATCTTTAGCCTCTATTAGTTTTTAGCTAGTGTTTTGCTACTTTTAACTTTAGCTGTTGTTCAGGTTATTTTAGCTTTAACCTTTTGCTACTTTTGTTTCTTAGCTAAGATTTTGCCAATAGTAGCTTTTAGCTAGTGTCCTGCTTCTTGTAAGTTTGAGTCATGGTTCTGCTTTTTTAGCTTTTAGCTAGTGTTCTGCTTTTTTTTTTTATCTTTAACGGAACATTTTTGAGCTTTTTTGGTACAAATACAAAGTATTAACTTTATAATAATCTTTTCACAAAAGTACAGAAAACTGAATAAATGTTTAAATAGATTGTGTTGTTGAATGAATTTAATGTTTTGGTTGTTAAATCTTCAGCCTTATGCGTTTCCTTGCTTTACGCTGCAGGGTCTCAGCAGCCTCTTCAGCTCCCTAAAAGTGATCCGCCTGCTGCGTTTGGGTCGGGTGGCCCGGAAACTGGACCACTACTTGGAGTATGGGGCAGCAGTCCTGGTCCTGCTGGTGTGTGTCTTTGGCCTGGTGGCCCACTGGCTCGCCTGCATCTGGTACAGCATCGGGGACCACGAGGTCATTGACGAGACCACCAACAGCATCAAGACAGACAGCTGGCTCTACCAGCTGGCCCTGAGCATCGGGACGCCTTACCGCTACAACGCCAGCGGAACAGGCCAGTGGGAGGGGGGTCCCAGCAAGGACACCCTGTACATCTCCTCTCTCTACTTCACCATGACCAGTCTCACCACCATCGGATTTGGCAACATCGCCCCGACGACAGACGGCGAGAAGATTTTCTCTGTGGCGATGATGATGGTGGGCTGTAAGTACTCATTCAGCTAAAAACTGACCTCTGAATATTTATTCCTCAGTTATACACAGTACATCTTTCAGTGATGTGAAATATCAGCTGATGTGGAAATAAACCTAACGTGACATTACATAACATAATTTCTCTTCTGGATGTGAGTGATTTGTTAACAGAGCAGGACGCTGAAATGRCAACATCACAAAATTCAGTTCAGTTTATGATAGTGATGTAACAACACAAACTATGTTTTAAACATTATCTCAATGCAGGAGCATCATTTGAAAATAATAAATGTGAGATCAGCAGTTTCACATCAACTGAARCTCTTTTACTTCGCTCTGAATGGGCTCTAAACAAAGTCTATAAACTCATGTTGCATTTATAATTTAAAGTCTGGACACACTTGAACACCCTTCATAGTCCTGGTGCTGTGACACAGCTGCCTCTGGAACAGCATATGGTTTGTATGTTGCAGATCTGCACAAATGAGTCTCATGTTGCTGCCATCGAAATGTCTGTTTTTACACAAAGTGCACCACCAATGTGTGCAGGTAATCTCATTTACAAAGTAAAGCAACGTTACCGACAGATGTGCACCAGACTTCACCAAAAGTGCTACAGCTAGCTGCTGCCGCCACTATCAGCATTTGCACATAACCATAGAATCGTATCGAAACAGTTGTGTAATGCAAATTTGATGGCAATTTATATGTTTGCAAAACAAGATTTTTAGTTTAGTTGTTTTAATCTGACATCTAAAAAAGGTTGCTTTTGACCTCACTCAGACTAGCTGTTGATACAATTAGATTTAGAGATTTTTTTCTCTAAAAACTCAGAGTGAACAACAGTTAAAATGTTCAAAAAAAAAAGGCTGAAACAGTAATTAAAAAAGTTAAATAGCATTATAAAATGAATAAAAGKCTAGATAAAAGTACCAAAAGYTAAAAGTAGCAACAGGCTGTCTAAAAATCTCAAGTACCAAAAGGCTAGTTAACGTATCAAAAGATTGGCTAAAAGCTACATGTATGAAAAATGCTAACAAAAAGCAAAAAGTAGCAAATTTTAGCTAAAAGCTTCACATCAAAAAGTTAACTAAAAGCTAAAAGTATCAAAAGATTGGCTAAAAACTACATGTATCAAAATGCTAACAAAAAGAAAAAAGTAGCAAATGTTAGCTAAAAGCTTAACATATCAAAAAGCGAACTAAAAGCTACAAGTATCAAAATATTAACTAAAAACTACATGTATCAAAATGCAAACTAAAAGCTAAAACGTAGCCAAATGTTAGTTAAAAGCTTAATGCACACAAAAGCTAGCTAAAATCTGAAAGTATCAAAAAGCTAGCTGAAAGTAGCAGAATATCAAAAATAGGACAACTTTTTAGATGACACTGAAAAGACCGCGATGTAAATAAAGTTAAATACTTTATAAAAGTTACAAAAAACAAAAGGCACTCCTCTCCTGAAAGAGTTGAAGGGTTTGATACACAAATGGTTAAAAAGTAAAATATGCAGAAGTAGTTTGATTGCAAACAACACATACAAAAATAAACAACAGAAAAACAAACGTGAGAATGCTGAATCAGCATTGTTTTTAAACTGTTCTCCAAACCGAAGCCTTTCAAAAAGCTATCTACAACAGGTTAGACARTGACTGCTCATAAATAATTAACAATCACAAAAGCCCTGTTTTGTTAATGGCAGACATCTTATTCTTGATGACACATAAAACAACCCAAATGGAGCCTTTTCCTCTTTTGTGCATTTCTCTGTAGGTTTGAACCTCAGCGGTAGGTTTMGGACTCATCTTTGCTGATAAGAAGTGACACTTTCAGCGCTCATCACTCTGCAAGTGTCTGTCTGAAGGTTCCTGATCTTATCACAAAAATCTTTGMGTTAATTCTCTGACACTCAAAATATTTTCCCCACTCAAGCTATGACTTTTTTTTTTAGCTCAAAACTTTATTAACTTGCAATAAACGTGAACAATTACGTGTAATAAATTTTTTGTTTGCTGCCGCTTTCATCCTGTTCCAACTGAGCTGCACTTGGAATGGTATACAACTAGAAATGAGATCAAGATGCAGTATTACACAACAGAGCATGCACTGTATTGTTGTGTAACATTACCGGTGTCTCACACAGTATTTAAGTATTACTTTACTTGCATTACAGTAAAAATAGCTTTAATTTAGGGATGTGATGCTAATAATGTTAAAATACGGTTAACATGTTTGTCTAATAAGGAGTAGTATTTAGCAGTAGTATTTACTAGATTTACATTATTAACATAAACCTAATTAARCTATGTCAAAATACTAAACAGAAATGTATTTATTTCCCTGCCACCATGTTTTATYTCCACCAGTCCTTTGACCTGTGCTCCGCTCCAAAACAGCATGAAAAGTGATGCAATCAAGTCACTGAGAACTCAGAAAGTGACAGCCACGCACCAAGGACGTTTATTTTTTTTTACCCCCGAAAGTAAACACCCATTAGTGTGATGGTACCCCCCCGATCACAGAGACCTCTCTCAGTCAGTCTCGATCCTACGTGATGAATCTCCTGCTACTGATACGGTAATTATGCGCCAGCAAAGAGCATTTGAAGCAATGGAGCGTTGCCCGCAGGCTGGAGGGAAAGGAAGTGGACAACGAGCCATCACGTTAGATCTGCATCCTAACCTCTGTGGTCCTGCTGAGGAGAGCGGAGACGACGAGTTCTCCTCGAGTGGGTGAAAACCTCACGATATGAGATCCTGACTGACTCTTTGAGGTCACATCAGCTCGGCACTCTTACTGAGGAAGCGTGCAAAATAAATGGATCATAAAGACTTAATGTGCCGCTTGCGCTCTATGTGTTTGTTTAGCTTGAAAAAAAAAAACCTTTTTAAAGCTACAATTCTTGCATAAAATGTTATTTAAACAATAAGATCAACAGTTCACATAGAAATCAAAGCTTTATTTCAYTAAAATATCACTCAAAATCCCTAATTTGCTTTGATGTTAAAGGRATAGTTCAGCTCTTTTGAAAGAAAGTTTGATGGTAAAATTGTAAACAACTAAAGTCTTAATTGTAGTAAATAGTTTTTGAACATCCTTAGTTTAGATGCTAACACCATTTTATAAACTTTTACATTGTTGTCAGTTTCACACAGTTGTTCCAGCAAGAAAATATATATATTTTTGTCAAAAGTGCAGCAGGCTGCACCAGAAATCCTACAGCTAGCTGCTGCAGCTATCTGTGCTAATTTGAAAACAATTCAATTTATTTATGTTATCAAATAATGCTTTTACTTACTTTTCAAACATGGTTTAATGTGCTTTAAAGGCAAAAAATTGCCAACTGGACACAGAAAGGACATTTACAGGTGCTGGTCATAAAATTAGAATATCATGAAAAAGTAGATTTATTTCAGTAATTCCATTTAAAAAGTGAAACTTGTATATTATACATTACATACAAACTCATATATTTCAAATGTTTATTTCGTTTAATTTTGATGATTACAAATGACAACAAATGAAAATCTCAAATTCAGCATATCAGAAAATTAGAATATTACTGAAGACCAATAAAAACAAAGGATTTATAGAAATGTTGGCCAACTGAAAAGKATGAACATGAAAAGTATGAGCATGTACAGCACTCAGTATTTAGTTGGGGCTCCTTTGGCCTGTATTACTGCAGCAATGCGGCGTGGCATGGAGTCGATCAGTCTGTGGCACTGCTCAGGTGTTATGATAGCCCAGGTTGATCTAATAGTGGCTTTTAGCTCTTCTGAATTGYTGGGTCTGGTGTATTGCATCTTCTTCTTCACAATACCCCATAGATTTTCTATGGGGTTAAGGTCAGGAGAGTTTGCTGGCCAATTAAGAACAGGGATACCATGGTCCTTCAACCAGGTACTGGTAGCTTTGGCACTGTGTGCAGGTGCCAAGTCCTGTTGGAAAATGAAATCTGCATCTCCAAAAAGTTGGTCAGCAGCAGGAAGCATGAAGTGCTCTAAAACTTCCTGGTATGTGGCTGCGTTGACCCTGGACCTCAGAAAACACAATGGACCAACACCAGCAGATGACATGGCACCCCAAACCATCACTGACTGTGGAAACTTTACACTGGACTTCAAGCAACGTGGATGAAGTGCCTCTCTTCTTTTCCTCCAGACTCTGGGACCTTGATTTCCAAAGGAAATGCAAAATTTACTTTCATCAGAGAACATGACTTTGGACCACTCACCAGCAGTCCAGTYCTGTTTCTCTGTAGCCCAGGCAAGACGCTTCTGACGCTGTCTGTGGTTCAAGAGTGGCTTGACACAAGGAATGCGACAGCAGAAACCCATGTCTTTCATACGTCTGTGTGTGGTGGTTCTTGAAGCACTCACTCCAGCTGCAGTCCACTCTTTGTGAATCTCCCCCACATTTTTGAATGGGTTTTGTTTCACAATCCTCTCCAGGGTGMGGTTATCTCTCTTGCTTGTACATTTTTTTCGACCACATCTTTTCCTTCCCTTCACCTCTCTATTAATGTGCTTGGACACAGAGCTCTGTGAACAGCCAGCCTCTTTAGCGATGACCTTTTGTGTCTTGCCCTCCTTGTGCAAGGTGTCGATAGTCGTCTTTTGGACAACTGTCAAGTCAGCAGTCTTCCCCATGATTGTGTAGCCTATAGAACTAGACTGAAAGACCATTTAAAGGCCTTTGCAGGTGGTTTGAGTTAATTAGCTGAGTAGAGTGTGGTACCAGGTGCCATCCATTTTGAACCTTTTCACAAGATTCTAATTTTCTGATATGCTGAATTTGAGATTTTCATTTGTTGTCATTTGTAATCATCAAAATTAAACGAAATAAACATTTGAAATATATGAGTTTGTATGTAATGTATGAATATAATATACAAGTTTCACTTTTTAAATGGAATTACTGAAATAAATCTACTTTTTCATGATATTCTAATTTTATGACCAGCACCTATTTATAATACATTAGCTGCAATTGATGTAGATAGGGAAATTAAAGTGTCATCTTGTAAAAAATATTGAGCAATTTTAGAKCAAATTACTCACAAGAAAACATCATTGGGTAACAATTGAGCTCATCAAAGTGTTTATAGGAACTGTTGCGTTGGTTGTAATGAAAACAAAACTCATCAACTTTATAAGCCGTGACGTCCTCACAGAGCATCGTCTTCTTCTGTTTTTTTCTCTACGATGGTTTCTGCCCTATGTGTCACAGCAGCGCCATCTAGTGTCAAGTAGTAATAAAAGCATCGGAACAAAACAAACCGTTTAGACCTGAGAACACAACATGCACACCAAACGCCAAATAAAGTAGACACTGTTAAAACATCAAAGTGAAGTTATAAGGCTGTGTTGCCCCCGTATCAAAAAATAAAATAAAATAAAATAAAATAAAATAATCCAGCATATTCAGGGTGGAAATAAGTCCTGCTCCAATAAGACTAAATCTGTGGGTTGGTCAGAAATATATTTATTAATTTTGCTTTAAAAAAAGCTTTAACAACGTTTTAATTTCTCGTAGCGCTGCTGTATGCGACCATCTTTGGAAACGTCACCACCATCTTCCAGCAGATGTACACCAACACCAACAGATACCACGAGATGCTCAACAATGTCCGCGACTTCCTCAAGCTCTACCAGGTTCCCAAAGGTCTGAGCGAGCGGGTCATGGACTTCATCGTGTCCACCTGGGCCATGTCTAAAGGCATCGACACTGACAGGGTATCGGCTGTTCTGACACTCACAGCTGTTTCAGCACATTTTAAAAACAAAAAGAAACAAGTTTAGCGTTTCTCATWTACTGAACATCCTCTTTTTTATATAATCTAAACTTATTTTCACTGGGGGCCACATCAGCATTATGGTGACCCTCAGCTGTAATTAACTTCAATATTTCTTATTTAACTGCAACCAAACAAACTAACTCCTCGTCTCGTTGCTACATCAGAGCATCACTAACAAAAATAACTTAGCTCTAAGTGGTATTTCATGCACAGAAACAGTGTTTTAACACATCCTCTTATAAAATGGAAAAGCACTACGCGTATGACTGACTAAATGTGAAATAAATAATAAATATTATTAAAAGTAAAAGTAAGAGCGTTTTACTCACGGCTGAGTTGTGGTAAGGCCTTGAATTCTGAACTCTCCCACTTTCCGATAAGAAATTCCCACTGGAGGGGCGTTCCAGTATAAATTTACGACTTCTAAGTGGGAAATTCCAACTTCCCAGAACAACTGGGGCACAGCAGAAGTAGCCAGCAAAATCACAGAGAAATGGAGATTTTATATGGTGAATTTTACCGGCTAAATGGACTATTGAACTCTGTGCATCTCCACCTAGTGGTGAGATGCCATCATTAAAATAATCAACATGCATTATGGGAGATGTAGTTTATAGTCAGTGCTGTATTTAAATCAACACATTCTTATTTTAAGACATTAATACATCCATAAAGCTCTAGCGGAGCACATAAAATGTCATATTGGGCCACATTTGGCTCGCAAACCTTGAATTTGACATGATTTGATTTGTAAAAAACTAAATATTTTCCCAGGACTCAGATTTTTACAGATCACTTTGGTTTATTCTGCATTCAAATATGTTCCATGTTTACCAAAAATTCAGCTCGATGATGCCTGTTTTTTTAAATTTGTCTTCCTCAAATCTCATCTCCCTCAGGTTCTCTCCATCTGTCCCAAAGACATGCGTGCAGACATTTGTGTGCATCTCAACAGGCAGGTGTTCAACGACCATCCGGCGTTCCGTTTGGCGAGTGACGGCTGTTTACGCTCACTCGCCGTGGAGTTTCAGACCACCCACTGCGCACCTGGAGACCTCATTTTCCACATCGGAGAGAGCGTCGATACGCTCTGCTTTGTCGTCTCCGGTTCGCTCGAAGTCATCCAGGACGATGAGGTCATTGCCATACTAGGTAATCCTTCAATAGACAGGGCTGTATTTTCTTTGAACCTGTTTTCAGGCAGGAAACTAAAAAAAAGAGACCCAGTGACTAACGAGTCGGTGATGTGTGGCTCCCTTCAGGTAAAGGTGACGTGTTCGGAGATGTGTTCTGGAAGGAGAGCACCCTGGCCCGGGCCTGCGCAAACGTCCGAGCTCTGACTTACTGTGACCTGCACGTCATCAAGAGGGAAGCTCTGATGAGAGTGCTGGAGTTTTACACAGCGTTTGCCAACTCCTTCTCCCGAAACCTCATCCTCACCTGCAATCTACGAAAACGGGTAAAAAAAAGAAGAAAAAAATAACCAACAACTTATGCTTAATTTATTATGTTACAGCTCTGAGGTATTTCTAATTAGCTATCAATAAATTAAAAGGGATTTTATGTCTTGCTACAAGTTTTGTCCTTTAAAACGTCTTTGACAAGATCACAAGAACACCATAAGAAACTTTAAAGAATAGTTCAGGTCTTTTGAAGTGGGGTTCTATGGAAAAGTTATGAGCAATGAACATCTTACCTGTTGTAGATATATCTTTGATCACTTTGGAGAAACCAAGAGCTAGCAGCTAGTCTGAGCAGGGCCAAGAGTAAAGTGGATTGGGGTTGTTTTAATTCCATTTACTGTTTTATAAATCTTTACATCACAGTCAGATTAATAATTCTGTCATAAGTTAAACAATAATCCTGCCTGAAGTGACCCAGAGGTGCTACAGTTAGCTACCACTGCCCTTTTGCTCTTGCAAATAATAATAAAGTCCTATTTAAATAAATAAAACTAATGGCAATAAATAGTTATGTAAATCGCAATGAATTTTTTTGACTTATTAGATATTATTTATTTTTGTTTTAACTTATTTTAAGTTAAACCAGTCTACTTTGGACTTCTCTGAAAAGACATTTTCAGTCTGGTCTATGTCTCTAACAGGTAACGTTAATTGTTTACATTTCTTCCACATGAGATAAATTTTAAAAATTTGAACTGTTCCTTTAAGTTCAATGTTAGTTAGAGATTTAAAGTAATAATTTATTAAAAAAACATTTGAGAATATATTGATTTATATGTGAAAAGTACAGTTTGTAACCCTGTGTCATCTCTGCTGAGGCCCTGAGATACAACTTCTTAAAAGCAGTTGCTTGTCCTATTTTGTAAAAACACCCTTTAGATCAACTTCTCATAAATTCTTAAGCAATATTTCCTTCAGAATCAAATTCAAATCTTTGTTTTTATCTCTGTGTGTGCTTTGGTCAGGTCTCGCTCAGAAAAGGAACTTCTGAGGCAGCAGAAGCTTTAAAAATAATATATTTTCTGAAGGAGCTCCACAGAGTCATAATTTCATAATAAAACTTTTTACAAAAGGCAGGAACGCAAACTCAGGAATATTAGAACTGTTCAAATAACAGTGAGTCAACAGAAACAGCTTTATGGAAGAAGTAACTCTGTTAGACTGGGGTTTCTAATATTTTTAAATAACCGTAATTTGATTTTCTGTTTCCTCCTTGTGCTCTTCTTGGAAAAAAAAGTCTTATGAAATCACATTAACTGAAATCACTCGGCCTCGATGAAGCAACTCTAAATCTAAACAAATGGCTGTGATTTGAAAGATTTATGACTCTTCAAACATATTATATGAATATTACACCATCTATTATTAATCTCAGGCGCTCTGGGGCCTTTTTCTGTTTGCCTAAGCTTAAATTGCACTCTAACCGACCCCTTAGCTGCTGTAAATTTATTTCTTTCGCATGTCTGTGTAAAAGAAGACCGACTCCGTAAAAATGTAAGATATTGCTTAAAATGCAAATACAAACAAGAGGTGTAGATTTGCAAATCTCTTAGAACTTATATTTACTGTACTTAAAATGTTTTTATTTGTTTAAAAAAAGAAAGAAAAAAGAAACAGGCAAATTAAAAGTGGGCATATATAAATTAAAAATGTTGAATTCATCAGTTTAGTGTATTTTCTTTCTTATAGATATGTTATTTCTGCCGTGGTGTGCATGGAACTGCTAATCAGCTAGCAGCTAATAGCATTATTCATTTAGCAAATTAGCTGACTTTGAAAACCGGTAGCTGACCAGTTATCTTCTAATAAATTAGGTTTTGCCAGCTTTAAGTCCATAACTAACAAACACCAACAGGTTTGTGACCGTCCCACCGGTCTTCAGCTTGAAGAAGAAAGATGTGACACAGACAGAGTGGTTAGCAATTAGCTGTTGGCTGGTAGCTTCTGATGATTTTTACTTGTTTATCTGTAGTTTTAGCTTCCATTATTTTTTACTTGTTTAGCTGTTGGTGTTAGCTTCTGCTAATGTTTACTTGTTTAGCTATTAGCAGAAGTGGGACCAAGTCGTTATTTTGCAAGACTCAAGTAAGTCTCAAGTATTTATCCTCAAGTCCAGACTAACAAGCTAACTTTTAGGTTAGCTGTGCCCACCACTGGATATTTGGTACTTCACACGTGAATATTTTAGTATTATTGACAAATCCCTTTTGTCACACGCAGACTTTCTATTTTTCAGGTCATTTTCAGGAAGATTGCTGATGTGAAGAGAGAAAAGGAGCGTCAGAGGAGTGAAGTGGCGCTCTCCATTCCAGAGGATCACCCTGTTCGCAAGTTGTTCCAGAAGTTCAAGCAGCAGAGGGACACGCAGACGTTGGATCAAAACTGTGTGTTGGTGGAACCGGAGCATCACCCGCACACCGACTCCAACTCCTGCCACAGGCGTCAGAGTGGATCCTCTCAGCAGCAGGAGCACAACAGCAAACCCTCCACAGGAAGGGGGAGCATAAGCGGCGTGCCTCAACATGTGTTTACAGATGCTGGAAAGTCAGAGCAAAGCTGCACACAAGTAACCGTGGAGTCTGAATCAAGGCCGTGTGCAGAGAATCCGATTTGTCAGAGGGGCAGCGGTGGTGCAGAGGGAGCTGCAGGTCGTGTTAACAGCGGCAAAAGTGTCAAAGGGTGGGCAAAGTTTAGGAGCGCCGTCTCTGCTGAACCGCCACTTCCTGCCATCGAGCCGGAGAAGCAGACACAGAAAGCTGAGGGGTGGCCGAACGCGGCGCAGCCAACAGAAGAGCGTGTCGCTGCTAAAAAGAACCAGGAATCAGAGGAGAGCGGACAGCTGGGGGGCAACGCTATGGGGGAGGCAGGAGAAGAAACGAGCGTCCTGCACAAAACTGACTCCTGCGACAGCGGCATCACGAAGAGCGATCTGCGCATCGACCGCGCCGGGGAGGCCAGGAGCTCCTTTGAGCGAAGCCCGATGGAGAAGAGTCCGCTGGAGAGAAGCCCGTTGGAGCACAGCCTCGGGGTTTACACCGAGGTCTCCATGAGGCAGTCCTTCCTCCAGCCGGTGGCTGAACAGTCTCTGCTCCAGGCCACGCTCCATGAGGCCAAGCTGGAGCTGAAAGGAGACATTAAGAAACTGAGCAGCCGGCTGTCGCTGCTCGAGTCGCAGGTGAGCGAGATCCTCAGGCTGCTGTCCACAAAAAGGAGACTGTCGCTGCCTCCGACTACTTCAAAACCCAGAATCAAAAGGCACGACTCAGGCAGCGCCTCTAGACTTGTTGCACCCAAAGCAGAAGAGGAGACTTTTGAATTCACTTATGAATGACATGAAAAATAAAAGATATAGATAAGCAACCTGCATGTCCTGTTGGACTCAAAGACGCTTCCAGCTTTAAGAACGTGACTGCATGCATCAGATTCCAGGGATGTAGTAGAATTTTAACATATCAGACATTTCTCTGATTGTGTTTGAGAATGCAAACAAGTAGCAGAAATAAATGAACAAACAATAATGATAATGCTTGGAAATTTAGATGCATTTTAAAAATCTCAACTCTCTGATGAAGGTGTTTGTTGAAACACACTTACCTGAGGAAAAAACTGAGTTACAGGAGACATATGGGGGAATATATATATTATATATACATACAGTATATATACAGTATATATATATATATGTATATATATATGTCTTTCTTGAAGGCATTAAAGTGTATTAAAACATAATTTAACACCTTTTTGTACAAAACACTTGGTTTAGAGACACCTAACTCAGACTGCAATTATCCTGCCTTCTTCTTTTACTTTAATGTAATCTTGAACTCTCTCTTCTGGATTCCATTATGTGTTAATTCTGTGATTCAGTCCTATTTGTATTTATTTTTTACACACCTGGGAAATTTTTCCACGTACCCCATGTAATATGTTTGCGTACCCCTGGTTGGGAATCACTGCTTTAGACAGTGCCAAGGACAGAAGGAACTGTTCAAGGTCCTGAAAGTGCTGGAATATTTCAGGACTTTAGACAGTGTGAAGGTCTGAAGGAACTGTCCAAGGTACTGAAAGTGCTGGAATGTTTCAGGACTTTAAATAGTGTAAAAGAGTGATGGAACTGTCCAAGGTACTGAAAGTGCTGGAATGTTTCAGGACATTGGACAGGGTGAATGACTGAAGGAACTGTCCAAGGTCCTGAAAGTGCTGGAATATTTCAGGACCTTGGACAGTGTGAATGACTGAAGGAACTGTCCAAGGTCCTGAAAGTGCTGGAATGTTTCAGGACCTTGGACAGTGTAAAGGGCAGAAGGAACTGTCCATGGTATTGAAAGTGCTGGAGTGTTTCAGGACTTTAGACAGTGTAAAGGGCTGAAGGAACTGTTCATGGTCTTGAGAGTGCTGAAATGTTTCAGGACTTTAGGCAATGTGAAAGGCTGAAGGAACCGTCCAAGGTTCTGAAAGTGCTGGAATATTTCTGGACGTTAGATAATGAGAAGAGCTGAAGGAACATTGAAGGTCCTGAAAGTTCTGGAATGTTTCTGGACTTCAGACAGTTTGAAGGACTGAATGAACTGTCCATGGTCCTGAAAGTGCTGGAACGTTTCTGGACTTCAGACAGTGTGAAGGACTGAAGGAACTGTCCAAGGTCCTGAAAGTGCTGGAATGTTTCTGGACTTTAGACAATGTGAAGGACTGAAAAAACTGTCCAAGGTCCTGAAAGTGCTGGAACATTTCAGGACTTTAGACAGTGTGAAGGACTGAAGGAACTGTCCAAGGTCCTGAAAGTGCTGGAATGTTTCTGGACTTTAGACAATGTGAAGGACTGAAAGAACTGTCCATGGTCCTGAAAGTGCTGGCATGTTTCAGGACATTAGACAGTGTGAAGGACTGAAAGAACTGTCCATGGTCCTGAAAGTGCTGGAATGTTTCAGGACAGACAGTGTGAAGGACTGAAAGAACTGTCCATGGTCCTGAAAGTGCTGG